CAAAACATAGTTCATTATTTAGGGCATGCCTTATTTAAGAAGGAGAAAATATTTTGTTATGACAAGCTAAAAACTATCTAAACTTATTTTACACCCTCACAAAATTACACTTGAAATAATTTCTAGGTTAAACTGGATATTTCTGAGAGTGGATGCCAAGTTTTTCTAAGATTCTGACACCTCTTTATGAAATGGCTAAGTCCTCAGTGACAGCCCCTCTCTCGCAAATATCGAACAAACCTTCTATAATCTAAGGAAGGCTTCAACAGCCTCTTCCCTAGCCATCTCTAACTAAAACACGTCTATTTCAGCATGAGTGCTCTGGACGAACCTCGGGGTTTTATCTCAGCTTTATGGGAACTATCAAAAACCCATCACTCACTATAGCCACACCCTCACCCCAGCTACAAAGGCCTTATCTTTGGGCAATACTGCCACCACAAAACTTGTCAATGCTTCCGGTGAATTAGTTCTAGGCTCCCTGGTTGGCCTCACAGTTCTTCATGCAGTACAAACTTTAATACTGACTTAAGGACATGCAACACTTCTGGTTAGCCAGTTAACCTCTTAGGAGCTTCTGTTGCTTTCTCCCTCTCACGTTACTATTCACTGCTGCAATACCCTGAATCCTGCCACTAACCTGACCTTACCAGAAGAAGGGGAAACTCACAAATGTCTTACCTTAGTTGGGAACTTGCTGTACCTTGCTCAGATGTATTAGCAACTCCTACTGAAAATCCTGACCTTATATGTTGATAGATCATACCTCAATATTGAAACTAGAGAGCTATCATGAATGCTATCACTACCTAAGCTCTCCTTGAAAAGACAATCCTCTGGGGCCGGCCCGGTGGTGCACTGCTACAGTGCGCCGCTTGGGAGCGTGGCGGCGCTCCCGCCGAGGGTTCGGATCCCACATACAGACCGGCCGCTCACTGGCTGAGCGAGGTGCAGGCACAACACCGAGGGTTGCGATCCCGTTGCCGATCCCGGTCTGGTACGGGCTGACACTGAGGGTTGCAATCCGTTGCCGGTCACGAAAAAAGGAAAAAAAAAAAAAAGAAAAGAAAAGACAATCCTCTACCTGAGGTAAAATCAGTCCAGATGGCAGAATTTATCACACTTATTAGAGCTTGTCAACTAGCCAAAGACCAGAGAGTAAACATGTATCAGAAGGTATATTTCTGGAGTAGTAAATGATGCTTTGGAAGCTAAAGTTTTCTTCCCTCTGTGGAGCCCCCATCAGAAATAGACAATAAGTTAAGGAATTTTTAAATACACTTCTACTACCTAGTGAGATGCTTATTACAAACATTGAGGCCCATGCTAAAAGAGATAATATGGAAGTTAAAAGAAATGTTCCAGAAGATCATTTTGTCAAATAAGTGGCCTTAACCAAGGTTATGATACTAATTAACCCCACAAAAGGTAATCTGTGGACTGAGTTAAAAGGCCATTATAAAATATCCCTTACATCTCTTTTGTAAGCTTTTTTCCTTTAATTTTTTTTTTTTATCATTTTAGTGGCTTTAGGGTTTATGGTATACATCTTCAGCTTATTACAGTCTACCTTCAAGTGATATAGCATTTGAAGTGTTATATTGGGAATAGCATAGGAATCTTACAATAGCATACTTCCATTTCTTTTCTCTTTATAATATTGTTGCCATGCATTTTACTTTTACATATGTTATAAATCTCACAATATGTTTTACTATATTTTAAATAGTCGATTATCTTTTTAAAGAGATTTAAATAATAAGAAAAATGATCTTATATATTTACCCCAGTAATTATCATTTCCAATGTTTTTCCTTTGTGTAGACCCAGATTTCCATCTGGTATCATTTTCCTTCTGCTTGAAGCACCTCCTTTAATATTTCTCATAATGAGGGTCTACTGTTGATAAATTCTATCAGTTTCTATATGTATGAAAAATATCCTCATTTTAAAGAGATATTTTTCCTATAGAATTGTAGGTTGTCAGTTTCTTCTTTCAATACATACAAGCTGTTGTTCTACTGTCTTCTTGCTTGCTTTGTTTCTAGTGAGAAACTGATGTTACCTTTATTTTTGTTCCTCTATATATAACATGTCTTTTTCTCTGGCTGCTTTTAAGATTTTCTTCTTCATCACTGGTTCTGAGCAGTTTGATTATGATATACCTTTATGTAGTTTTCTTCAGGCTTCTTGTGCTCAGATTTCATTGGGCTCCTTAGGACAGGTCTGTGGGTAAAGATGCTGATAGAAAGACTGAAGTAGTGATGGGAGCTTACGGATGTTCTCTTCTGATTAACTCAGTGTTATCAATGAAGTAGAAAGCAAGGTCATTGGTTGAGACAGCATAGGGGAAGAGATGGTGGGTATGAGAGAAGGTATAAAACTGTCATCTAGGAGGATATCAGAATCAATGAAGCAGGGACATTTAATAAGATGTTCAAGCATCTTTAAGGGCCCATTTAAAATTAGCAATAATAAATTTAAAGTCAGCATGGTTGGGTGTTTTTTTCTCTACCAGGTCCAGCTGTAAGAGTCCAAGAACTTAGTAAGTAGAAAGTTGGAATGGCCAGTACCAGAGTTTTGCCAAGTGATTACAGCAACTCAGAGTGGGACAGGGAATTGAAGATGTAACAAGTGGATGATTATATTGATTGACCACTAAATATACCTATATCAAACTTCCTCAATCAGAGTGGAAACTTTTAGAACGCAGTTCCTTGAATCTAGAAGGTGTTGAATATGAATTTGCTGATCCACGTATGGCTGTGTCTTAACAGTAGAAAACCAGGAGTTAAAGGAAGTTGTATTACTGGAGCAAATTAGCTCTGTTTTTGAATGGAATGCTTTGAAAAGTCCTTATCAGAGCCTACAAAGCTTTGCTTGTCCTGGCTCCAGCCTATTAGGGCAGCCTCTCATCAAGTTCCCACTTTCTCTAACCTCCAAACACACTGGACTTTCCCCCATCCCTTACATTTGCCACATGCTTTTGCACATGCAGCTCCCTCTGCAGAAATGTTCTTTCCTTCCCTGGTGGGCTTCTCATCTTGTATCTCTGCTTTCTTGAGTAATGCAAATATTTTTGTAATAATCAGCTTAATATCTAGTCAGTGTGCTTCCTTCTCAGTGTTGGAGTGAGCAGGACTGAAGCCATGTTGGGACCTAAAACCGCATGGGCTACAGACAAATTTTAAAAAGACAGTTTTTTCCTTGGCATACATTTCTCTGAGTTCCCTCTTTTCCCATGGTTATTTGATATTTTGAACCTTGGTTATAGGGCAAGATGACATTATTTACCTGAATGTAAAGTTGTTTTCCAGCCAGCCTGAAGCTAGAGACTTGCCAGGAAGCATGTACTATCCAGACCCTGAGATAACAGGAAAGATGGGAGCAGAAACCAGATGGAGTCTTGGTGAGGCCTTGCACCTGACTCCTTGCATGGAGTCCCAGCTGCTCACATTTCCCTCCCTCCTACTTTTCATTTCCCATGTTCCATTCTTTTGGCCCCCTCTTTAAAAACCCCTCAGTAAATCCGAGTCTTTGAGATGGCTTTAGTCTGGCCATTCTTCAGGTTTACCAGAGAGATGGTAAATCTAACATCTCTCCTCAGATCCTGAATAAAAGCTGACTTCCGTTTTCACCAACATTTGACTTTTGATCAAATGTATGGTAACATTAGCACTTGTCACAGTTTTGATTTTAGGTTCCTGTTGTTGACGGCTGTCTGTGATTATGCTGTAAGCTTCCTGAGGGCAGGGACCTTGTCTGTTTTTAGTCCCCATTTGAACCTGGTATAGTTTCTGGCACATCAGTAGGTGGTAATAAACATTTTTGTTATATGTGAAGCCTGGTGTGGAGAGCAACATCTTTCTTTTGGAGAATTCTCGAGGTACTGGCTAATGCTACACGTGTATCCTTTCCAATACTTCCCCAGAACCCTGTAGAGAGCAGGTGAATAAAACAAGACACAACAAAGCCCTATCCCCAGGCCCCGAACCTGGTTTTGGAAGGCGCTGGCGCACTGGGCTCGCCGGATGTACGCAAGCGCGCTGGGCGGGGCTCTAGTAACCAAGCAACAGCCCGGAAGCCGCTGGCTGCGTTAACCTGTGGCGCGCTCGGCAGTTTTGGATCCTGAAGTTTTGGCCGCGGTGGAGGCAGCAGTCGGGAAACAGCAGGTTGAGATGACGGAGCGGAGGCCTGCAGCCCGCAGTCCCACCGAGTCTTAGGGACCGGGGCTCCATATAGGGTGGGGAGAACAGTGGTGGTGTCTCTGTTCCCTGGGGATCCAGGCCCCTGTGCCGCGGCGCTGAGTGCTTTGAGAGTGTATGTGGGTGTCAGGATGCGTGTCTGGGTATGTTTGCCTCTAGCGCGCTCGCTCTAGGAGCACCCCGAGAGTGCGCGTGCGCACCGCTTTCGGGCCCCTTTGTACAGTGCTAGAAATTGGGGGTACCCGATGGTAGCTTTCAAGGGGTTTACTGTCAAGCAGAAGGGAGACAAACTACCCAGGGTACGTGGGGACTGGGAAGGTCATTTAAATCGGTTGTTGTCAGGAAGAGGTTTCTTACAAGGGGACACTTGAAAGAGTTTTGAGGAGTGAGTGGGAGTTAACCCGGTAGAGAAGGGAGTGCGAGTCTGAAGCTTGTTCCAAGCAGAGGGAAAAGAGTGGTTGGAACTATATGTGAAGGCGAGAACTTGGTTGTAGAATGTGTGGGAGATGTGACAGGAGAAAAGACTGGGAAGAAAGGTCAGCCGGGCCGCAGAGGGGAGAGGATCTGAAGGCCAACCTGAGTTGGATTCCTCTCTATAGGGAGCCATTAAAATCTTTTGAGGAAGGAACTAAAGAGTTGAGGTCTGTACATTATCCATATGTCTGGGTACGATTGTTTGAAGGGGCAAGGTTTGGAAAGAGTTCTTGTTTCCCTTTGATAAGTTTCCCACACTAGTCAGAGTGGATTTTTAAATCCCGTCATAACTCTCCCTACTTAAAATTCTTGAGTGGCTTCTTATGGTCTTTAGGATAGTGTTCAAATTGCTGTGGCTCACGAGGCCGTTGCGCTCTCTCTGCCTTTCTTTCCAGCCTCTTACTTAGCTGCTCACACTCTCAAATCTTTGTTACTCAAACTGAACTTCTCCAACTCTTTGTAAATGCTTTTTCTCCAGCTTGGAACATTCTTCCTCCCAGTTCTAACTTTTGTTCGTACTTTAACTTTCACCTTACACATTAGGGGAATTAGAGAGAAGGTGGCCCTTTCTTACTGTGTAATTTAGTTACTTCCACGGCATACAGAATTTACTTCCCATGTTGCCCTTTTATTGTAATTACGTGTTTAATTGTGATCCTTTTATAAACTCTAAACTTTGTGAAGGCATAGACTCTTTTACTTTCTTGCTATATCTGGTGCCTAGCTCTTAGCAGGTACTTCCAAAATATTTGTTGAATGAATGGATGGACGATGAAGTGAGTGAGTGAATGAGCGAAAGGGAGACCAATCAGGAGAAATAAAGAAAGCGTGGGAAAAAATATTCCTAGTAAAGATGGAGAAGTATGGACAGATAGGAGAAATATTTTAGGGAAAGAATTAATAGGTTCTAGTATGTACTAGACTAAGAGGTAAGAGGGAACAGAAGGTGATGCTAAGGGTTTAAAACTGGAGAAACTAGAAGGATGGTAATTCTGTAAGTTCAGCTTAATTCAGCAGACATTTACTGAGTCAGCCAATTATATATCATGAACTAGAGGATTGGGGTGTGTAGATGATGAGTTGTATTTTGATGTACTATATTTGAGAAATTTGGGAGTTGTGCACAGTGGGCAGTTAGAAATGAACATTTGGTGTTTTGAGGAAAGGTGTGAATCAGTAATTTGGGATTCATTTTTGCAGTGTGTTTGTGTACCCAGTGCATTCACAGCTTTGCTCAAGGGAGTGGGTGAGATCACTGAGGGAGGATGTGTGCTCCTCCTTAGTGATCTAGAAAGTAAGCTCCATGAGAGCTGGCACCATATTAGATTTGTTTACNCGAGGTGCAGGCACAACACCGAGGGTTGCGATCCCGTTGCCGATCCCGGTCTGGTACGGGCTGACACTGAGGGTTGCAATCCGTTGCCGGTCACGAAAAAAGGAAAAAAAAAAAAAAGAAAAGAAAAGACAATCCTCTACCTGAGGTAAAATCAGTCCAGATGGCAGAATTTATCACACTTATTAGAGCTTGTCAACTAGCCAAAGACCAGAGAGTAAACATGTATCAGAAGGTATATTTCTGGAGTAGTAAATGATGCTTTGGAAGCTAAAGTTTTCTTCCCTCTGTGGAGCCCCCATCAGAAATAGACAATAAGTTAAGGAATTTTTAAATACACTTCTACTACCTAGTGAGATGCTTATTACAAACATTGAGGCCCATGCTAAAAGAGATAATATGGAAGTTAAAAGAAATGTTCCAGAAGATCATTTTGTCAAATAAGTGGCCTTAACCAAGGTTATGATACTAATTAACCCCACAAAAGGTAATCTGTGGACTGAGTTAAAAGGCCATTATAAAATATCCCTTACATCTCTTTTGTAAGCTTTTTTCCTTTAATTTTTTTTTTTTATCATTTTAGTGGCTTTAGGGTTTATGGTATACATCTTCAGCTTATTACAGTCTACCTTCAAGTGATATAGCATTTGAAGTGTTATATTGGGAATAGCATAGGAATCTTACAATAGCATACTTCCATTTCTTTTCTCTTTATAATATTGTTGCCATGCATTTTACTTTTACATATGTTATAAATCTCACAATATGTTTTACTATATTTTAAATAGTCGATTATCTTTTTAAAGAGATTTAAATAATAAGAAAAATGATCTTATATATTTACCCCAGTAATTATCATTTCCAATGTTTTTCCTTTGTGTAGACCCAGATTTCCATCTGGTATCATTTTCCTTCTGCTTGAAGCACCTCCTTTAATATTTCTCATAATGAGGGTCTACTGTTGATAAATTCTATCAGTTTCTATATGTATGAAAAATATCCTCATTTTAAAGAGATATTTTTCCTATAGAATTGTAGGTTGTCAGTTTCTTCTTTCAATACATACAAGCTGTTGTTCTACTGTCTTCTTGCTTGCTTTGTTTCTAGTGAGAAACTGATGTTACCTTTATTTTTGTTCCTCTATATATAACATGTCTTTTTCTCTGGCTGCTTTTAAGATTTTCTTCTTCATCACTGGTTCTGAGCAGTTTGATTATGATATACCTTTATGTAGTTTTCTTCAGGCTTCTTGTGCTCAGATTTCATTGGGCTCCTTAGGACAGGTCTGTGGGTAAAGATGCTGATAGAAAGACTGAAGTAGTGATGGGAGCTTACGGATGTTCTCTTCTGATTAACTCAGTGTTATCAATGAAGTAGAAAGCAAGGTCATTGGTTGAGACAGCATAGGGGAAGAGATGGTGGGTATGAGAGAAGGTATAAAACTGTCATCTAGGAGGATATCAGAATCAATGAAGCAGGGACATTTAATAAGATGTTCAAGCATCTTTAAGGGCCCATTTAAAATTAGCAATAATAAATTTAAAGTCAGCATGGTTGGGTGTTTTTTTCTCTACCAGGTCCAGCTGTAAGAGTCCAAGAACTTAGTAAGTAGAAAGTTGGAATGGCCAGTACCAGAGTTTTGCCAAGTGATTACAGCAACTCAGAGTGGGACAGGGAATTGAAGATGTAACAAGTGGATGATTATATTGATTGACCACTAAATATACCTATATCAAACTTCCTCAATCAGAGTGGAAACTTTTAGAACGCAGTTCCTTGAATCTAGAAGGTGTTGAATATGAATTTGCTGATCCACGTATGGCTGTGTCTTAACAGTAGAATACCAGGAGTTAAAGGAAGTTGTATTACTGGAGCAAATTAGCTCTGTTTTTGAATGGAATGCTTTGAAAAGTCCTTATCAGAGCCTACAAAGCTTTGCTTGTCCTGGCTCCAGCCTATTAGGGCAGCCTCTCATCAAGTTCCCACTTTCTCTAACCTCCAAACACACTGGACTTTCCCCCATCCCTTACATTTGCCACATGCTTTTGCACATGCAGCTCCCTCTGCAGAAATGTTCTTTCCTTCCCTGGTGGGCTTCTCATCTTGTATCTCTGCTTTCTTGAGTAATGCAAATATTTTTGTAATAATCAGCTTAATATCTAGTCAGTGTGCTTCCTTCTCAGTGTTGGAGTGAGCAGGACTGAAGCCATGTTGGGACCTAAAACCGCATGGGCTACAGACAAATTTTAAAAAGACAGTTTTTTCCTTGGCATACATTTCTCTGAGTTCCCTCTTTTCCCATGGTTATTTGATATTTTGAACCTTGGTTATAGGGCAAGATGACATTATTTACCTGAATGTAAAGTTGTTTTCCAGCCAGCCTGAAGCTAGAGACTTGCCAGGAAGCATGTACTATCCAGACCCTGAGATAACAGGAAAGATGGGAGCAGAAACCAGATGGAGTCTTGGTGAGGCCTTGCACCTGACTCCTTGCATGGAGTCCCAGCTGCTCACATTTCCCTCCCTCCTACTTTTCATTTCCCATGTTCCATTCTTTTGGCCCCCTCTTTAAAAACCCCTCAGTAAATCCGAGTCTTTGAGATGGCTTTAGTCTGGCCATTCTTCAGGTTTACCAGAGAGATGGTAAATCTAACATCTCTCCTCAGATCCTGAATAAAAGCTGACTTCCGTTTTCACCAACATTTGACTTTTGATCAAATGTATGGTAACATTAGCACTTGTCACAGTTTTGATTTTAGGTTCCTGTTGTTGACGGCTGTCTGTGATTATGCTGTAAGCTTCCTGAGGGCAGGGACCTTGTCTGTTTTTAGTCCCCATTTGAACCTGGTATAGTTTCTGGCACATCAGTAGGTGGTAATAAACATTTTTGTTATATGTGAAGCCTGGTGTGGAGAGCAACATCTTTCTTTTGGAGAATTCTCGAGGTACTGGCTAATGCTACACGTGTATCCTTTCCAATACTTCCCCAGAACCCTGTAGAGAGCAGGTGAATAAAACAAGACACAACAAAGCCCTATCCCCAGGCCCCGAACCTGGTTTTGGAAGGCGCTGGCGCACTGGGCTCGCCGGATGTACGCAAGCGCGCTGGGCGGGGCTCTAGTAACCAAGCAACAGCCCGGAAGCCGCTGGCTGCGTTAAC